TCTCCAATGACATGACATTTCATCAAAGAGCTGATGTCCTTACTGTGGCTTTCCCAGTGCCTGTGTGAATCTCTGCATTAACTCCCTACCTTTAACCCCCAGTATCCATTGCTTCCCCTTCGGACCTACCAGATGCTCTCCCCTTAGCCTGCATAGCCACTGCCTGCATGGCTGGCATAGTTCTCTCCATTACCCATGCCAATTGTCAAGTCTCCTAACTAGCTGATGAAGAGTAAACTGGTACAGCTATTGTGGAGGTAAGAATGGAGGTTCCTCAAAAAATTAAAAATAGAGCTACCATCTATCATGTGGAAATATGAACAGAGGAAAGATGCCCTTACCCTACTAAAAGTGCTCAAGGTTCCCCACCCCATTTTGCAATGTTTCCATATGTAATGAGATAGTTGGGTTATAGAACCCACATCCAAACAAAAATTCTGTATGCTTTACATACATCTTATGTACATGGCTGAAGGTAATTTTATGCAGTGTTTTTACTGCACCCGTGTTTTGTCTACACTGTGCGAGGTCAGCTGTAAAACCTACCTCTTGTTGGAGGGGGTCAACACTTAAAACTGGGGTTTCTGAGGATTTGAATTTCAGCTCTGACTTCCTCTAAAGGGCCAGATAGCATGCTGTGCAAATTTTACAATCAATGCGTCATTTCCCATATGATCCACATGGCTTTATTTAATCCTCAACTCTTAGCAGATGGACAAATGGACAAACCCAAGTTCTTTTCAATTCATTTAACACTACTTTTTTTTGAATTGATTTATTTTTGTTAACATTTCAGTTGGTAAGAAAATCCTCATGTTTTAGGGTACTGGCAAGTTATTAGTAGGTATGTCTTTGGATATCAGTTACTAAGGGAAGTAATTTTAAAAATAAAGTCCTGTATTTTAACCCTGCACTAGTTTCCAAGGTTTTTAGTAAAATGCAAGAATAATGCATGCAAAGTAATTTTTGAATATTTAGTATTTATGGATTATGTTCAGTTAAGCTGTGTCCTGCAGAACTCTGGGAAGATGATTTGTCTTTTATCTTGTCAGCGTTCCCTTTCGTCCCTACAGCACAGGCTTGTGTCATACTATGATCTGTGCTCCTCTCAATGGTTCTAGACAGAGGGTCACCACCCCACAGGGCTGGCATATCAGATAATCTGCATATCACCTATTTACATTAGGATTCCTTGCAGTCACATGACCAGTTAATGAAGTAGCAATGTAAATACTGTTGTTCTTGGGAAACCGCTTTAAAGGGTCGCAGCATCAGGAAGGTTGAGAACCACTGCTCTAGATGACATTCCTGGATGCTGTGTGTTTTGTGTTAGGGATTCTGTAAAAAGGATCACTTTGTAAAGTTGATGATTAACCCATTGCAGTCTCCCTCCCTAGGTTTCTAAGTCTTTCCCCTCATCTCTAGTTTGCATGCTTCTTTTTTATTATTTCTGTTACTACATTAATTACATGGATGTGTTAAACCCCTGACAACTCTGGTCCGATTATCAGACCACATCGTTTCCCCTTCTCTTTCCATGCCTTGCCCACCCTTCTCTTTCTTCCCTCTCCCTCTGCCTCCCCTCTCTCTCTACCTTTCCCCTCCCTCTGCCTCCCCCTCCCTGCTCTGTCCTTTGCCCCTTTCCTTGTCCTTTCTTCTCTCTCTTCTTGGAAGCCTAAGTATCTGGTCTCCTCAGTATCATCCAGACACTTAGAGAAGCCATTTAATGGAGAAAAAAATCTCAAAGAATGTGGCCAAAACTGAATAGTAATGGAAATAAATAAATGACACAGACATTTGATGCTACCCATTAAATCCTTTGATTTAATGATAAGGAAAGGCTAATTTAAAGAGATAGACCAGTGCATTTCAGTGACTTAATGCAAACAAAGTTTACTTCTCTTCATGAAAAATGAAATGGACGGAAGTGGCGTTTGGAGCCTTGCCCCATGATGCTTCCCAGGGAATCTGGGTCGTGTAACTTCTCTTACTTCTTATGGCTCCTGGATGGTCATCAAAGGCTAATGTAGCGCTATCACTCTGATTGCTTCCCCACGGGAATTCTGTGGGGAGTCTTGGGTACAAGTCTGGAAAAAGAATTCTGTATTCTTCCTCCAAAGAAAATGGTTACAAAGGCTTCATGTTTTATGTTGTCCTTAATGATTACAAAAGCGAGTCTCTTTATTGGAGTCAAGAAATTTAATTAAGTGAGAAGGAATTTTAATTCTTCTAGGAGAAGCCCAACATCTTCATTGCTGGAATTCTAATCATGCACCTGTTTCGGCATAAATACTGTTACTTTACAGAGCAACAAATGAAATACACCGTGGTGTTCAAATGATGTTTAATACGAATGGCTTTTTGTATGTAAGCTGTCATCTACTACTGTAATTGCTCTTACAGAAAGGAATAACAAAAACAGGGTCAGATTAAATATGAAGAGTGATAAGATGCCTGCTTTTACTAATAACTGGAATAAAAACATCAGAGAAAAAAACTTTTATGTGAATACTTGTGAAGCATATGAAACCCAGTAACACTCTTCATGTTTGGAAATAACCGCAGGGCATTGTACAATGACACCAGTGTGTCTTGGGGATGGAGTAAACCATCCACGGGACTTGTACATGTTCCTCATGCAGTCATTTTTATTAGGGATGAACTCAATGGGTTCATTGGAATAGCAAGCTTGTACCTTTCCTGCCAAAATGTTTAAGGATATAATGATCTTACTGAAACTAACATGGACCCCCTCAGTCACTAAAGTACCAAGTTTTAACACTACTAACCTGAGAGTAGCATGTAGTTTCTATGGAAATAACCGAGATCTAGACAGAGCTTCTCAACTTAGACAGCCTTGGCAGTCTATGCATCTAAAATCTTCTCTCTCTCTCTCTCTCTCTCTCTCTCTCTCTCTCTCTCTTGCAGGGTCAGATTAAATATGAAGAGTGATAAGATGCCTGCTTATACTAATAACTGGAATAAAAACATCAGAGGAAAAACTTTTATGTGAATACTTGTGAAGCATATGAAACCCAGTAACACTCTTCATGTTTGGAAATAACCGCAGGGCACTGTACAATGACACCAGTGTGTCTTGGGGATGGAGTAAACCAGCCACGGGGCTTGTACATGTTCCTCATGCAGTCATTTTTATTAAGGATGAACTCAATGGGTTCATTGGAATAGCAAGCTTGTACCTTTCCTGCTAAAAAGTTTAAGGATATAATGATCTTACTGAAACTAACATGGACCCCCTCAGTCACTAAAGTACCAAGTTTTAACACTACTAACCTGAGAGTAGCATGTAGTTTCTATGGAAATAACCGAGATCTAGACAGAGCTTCTCAACTTAGACAGCCTTGGCAGTCTATGCATCTAAAATCTTCTCTCTCTCTCTCTCTCTCTCTCTCTCTCTCTCTCTCTCTCTCTCTCTCTCTCTCTCTCTCTCTCTCTCTCTCTCTCTCTCTCTCTCTCTCTCTCTCTCTCTCTCTCTCTCTCTCTCTCTGTGTGTGTGTGTGTGTATGTGTGTGTGTGTGTGTGTGTGTGTGTGTGTGCATATGTGCATGTGTGCGTGTGTGTGTGTGTGTGTGTGTGCATATGTGCATGTGTGTGTGTGTGCATATGTGCATGTGTGTGTGTGTGTGTGCATATGTGCATGTGTGTGTTGTATATTTTAATCGGTTAAGCAACATCCTATATTGCCAATCAAATGGTGGCAATAAAGATGCTTTAAGCGGTTAAGCAACATCCTATATTGCCAATCAAATGGTGGCAATAAAGATGCCCCTAGGTACTTCAAAATGTCTCCTTGAGGCTAAAACACCTGGTTAGGAACTGCTCAGCCAGAGAGTGCCAGGGAGGCTTTTTCAGATGCATAAGAAGTTTCAGATTTAGCACACTGATTCAGAATTACTCGGAACAGAACTGGTGTTAAGTGATCAAGATGAGTATATTTCCATAGTTTCAGTTAACTAAGAGTGGGAAGCATTGACTTTCGAGTTAGCAGTTTCCCAGGTGACTGTTTAATTAAGTAAATTGCAGACTTAGTCACACTCACAGTTTACCAGGGATTTCTTTTCTAGGCAGGATTTTGAACTAAATAATCTCTTAAATCCATTTTAATGATAAGATGCTGTAATTTTGGCAGTGCTAAAGATGCAGATTTGCAAAATTAATCTCCCGTGTTTGTCTCCTGAAAACCCCCTCTGCCTGTGCCAGTGTTGTAGTTGAGCACGGGGTCATCCACTAATTAGGGAAAATATCTTCTCACTCAGCTATATGCCCAGACCAGAAATCTGTTTTTGAGAAAAAGAGAAGTGCATTCCTTAAACATATATTAGTTTTTAAAAGTATCCACTTATTCAACTTTATTTTGTGGGAGGGTATACCTGTATGCCATAGTCACATGGGACACCAGGGGACAACTCTCAAGAGTTGGTTTTCCTCTTCTGTCATGAGGGTTCTAGATATCAAACTCAGGTCGTCAGGGCCATCAATCAGCACCTTAACCAGCAGAGCCATCTTGGAAGCCCTTTAAACTGAATTTTAAGGGGTATCCATCATTTATGAAGGAATCTAGAGTGTCATCAGCATTTGTTGATCTTAAAAATTGGTCAAAAAGGATGAAAGAAAACAAAATTACATAGGAGATTTCAAAGAATCAACAGTTCCCATTATCATCAATGAGAAATGAGTTTGTTGATAGATTAAAGAACACTCAGTTAAATTGCAGCAGCCAAAGCCCAGTTGAAATGGTGTGTCCTCTAAAATGTTGTCCATTATATAGGTATTAATCATTATTATCCTGAGTGATTTTATTGGTACACAAATCAGGAAGAAAATAGTTCACAAAGAAACAAGTGCATTGATTATGATGAAATTCCTTTGAAATATTTATCATGACAAGTTCTCTATGCTTTAATTTACTTTATGTTATTTTCTTTTATTGCATATTTCAAGTGTATTTTGAACACACTTATCTGTGCTTTATTTTCTAGTTGTTTTTTATCCTTGCTGCTGGTGGCTGCTGTGGTTTGGAAAATCAAACAGACTTGCTGGGCTTCTCGACGGAGAGAGGTAACAGTCACATTATCTAATCTCTGTGAGGGTGTGAGCAGTTGTGGATTCCTGGAAACCATGCATATGCTCTTTCAAGTACAGATTTATCAAATCAGTTTTACACATTAAAATTGCATAGTTTTCTATCTTTAAAGCTTCACAGTTGTGCGGGGTGGTGGTGATGATGGCGCATGCCTTTAATCCCAGTACTCGAGAGACAGAGTCAGATGGATCTCTGTGTTCAAGGCCAGCCTGGTCTACAGAGAGAGTTCAAGGACATCCAGAGCTTCACAGAGAAATCCTGTCTCAAAACATAAACAAAACAAAATCACCAAACAAAAGCTAACTAAAAAATTCAGAGTTGATAACCACAATATTTTCAAGACATTATCTATCTATCTATCTATCTATCTATCTATCTATCTATCTATCGGTTAGGTGCAGGTTTTTTTTGACACTATTAGAATTCATAATGAATACTGATATTAATTTTGTTAAGTAATCAGT